AAATTTAATCAAAATTATTAATATATGAACATTATTAATAAATTATACCAATATGTAAACATTAGTAAATGTAAGTTTTTCAAAATCTGGAATTTTTAAACTCTCGCTTATAAAATTTCAAGAATATAATTAGACTCCTACAGGTTAAAAAGTATAATACCAATATATCAACATTATTAATAAATGTCAGTTTTTCAAAGTGTTAATTTTTCAAACTTTCAATTATGAAAATTCAAAATCTAATCTTTAGTAACTATTAAAATATTTTATAGAAGATATTGAATGCAAATTATATATTTTATGTATTTAATAGTCAAATTTATATACTCAATAGTCAACATTTTAAATTAAATATTTACTATTATTTTTTAGTAACTATTAAAACATTTTATAGAAGATATTGAGTGTAGATTATATTTTATATATTCAATAGTCATCATTCTAGATTAAATATTTTATTTACATTTAATAACAAAATACATAAATTATGAAGCATTTATTATTAATTATAATGGGTAAGCATCCCATGTTAATGCGCATTAATTAATATTTTATTTACTTTCAGAAATATTAGAATTAAATTTATGAGTGACATTCAACTTGTCATCCATGAGCAAGGTAGTAAACAATTTTAAACCATTCATTCCTGGTCTTTCTGTAAACGTAAATTGAATGTGAATCAACTGTTTTTGTATCGCTTCATATGGTATCATGAATAATTTTTCCACAAAAATATAACCCACTTCAAACTCTTTTACATAGGTATGCAGAAAGTCATAAAACAAGGCTTTGTAAATATTTTCTTTCAGGACATTGGTTAAATAATAGACTTGACCTGTTTCAGAGTTCATCACATTTGTGTGACTACCTATGATGAGACGCGAATTTTTGGATGCAGTAGATGAAGAATCTGCTTTGGTGGAAACATTAAATTCATTTGATGATACTTTCCATTTTTCCATTGTCACTGTTTCATAGCCTTTGGGCACTAACTTTCCCTCTTTCAACGTTTTGCTTTGAGTTGGAATAATTTCAAACTTTTCTATAACAATACTAGAAAGAGCGTGATTCTCTTGACTGTTTATATCGTTTAACAGTTTTAAAGAATCGTCAGAATACTTGTTACTTGTCGAATCACACATTTTAAAAAAGAATTTGTAGATTTTTTTGAATTAAACATCTGCTGATGAATATAAGATTGTTAAGAAAACAATATATTTTCTGACAGACACTAAATATTTAACCTTCTACTCGCCCGAAAAAGAAAAAAAGAAAAAAAAAGAAAAAGTATCTTTTGTCTTTCTGTTTAACACTTGATTATTCAACACTAATTTTATTTTTTTAAATTTATTCTTTAGTATTTACGAAGAAATTTAAGGGATTTTTGGGAATTTTTATTATACAGTATAATTACACTTTTGAAATGCTAACATTTAATAGTTTAAATAGATTTAAAAAAAAAACAAATAGAATTGTTACCTTTAAATTTTTATTATTAGAACTTCTATGCTATAAAGCAATTTACAAGCAAAATACAAGACATGATAACAATCCATTGAAATATTGTGATGTTTTTATTCCGTTGAGAACCATATTTTTTTTCGGTGTAAAGGGAATATGTTCTTTGAGAAGATGGCAGGTGGCACAAAATCCTATCAACATATCTTCTTTTCTATTCAAATCATAGGAGTCTGTGTGATATTGACAATAAGTACACCAAATATTGAATTTTTGGCCATAATCTATCAAATTTACAGGGAGATTTACGATAAGAAATTTCCGGCTAATACAAATAAAACAAAATCCTTCTATAGCATAAACTTTCTTTGCATCTGAATCGCTGACCAATATGTTCTTTAAATTCAATGTATCTGTCTCACGGTAACAATTGAAACATTTAAATTTTAAATCAATAGTGAAATGATTCGCTGGCTCATAACCTGGAAAAAACATGTCTCCAAGAGGAGCTGAAAAAGGTTTGAAATGATGGCAGACTGCACATGAGCCCATTAATAAAACTAACAATGTCCAATCCTTTGTATCGGTATGTTGATGACAGTAAGCACACCACACATTCAATTTCTTTTCATACTCTGTAAAACACATGGGTCGCACTGTACGGTAACGCTTGGGAGCGGTGCATAAGAAACACCATCCCGTAAGCTTCCATTTCTTAGTGGATTTTTGAACGTTTTTTAAACCTATTGTATCTGTTGTATGTTTACAATGTTTGCAAAAGATTTTTAAAAGTTTTTCATCATCTTCCTTAAATACGAGTTTGGAATTTAATTCTTGATTATTTAAACTACTTAAGTGGAATATATCAACGTTACTCAGGTATTGACAAAGTCTTTGAACAATATCAAAAGGGAATGAAACAAATTGCATCGTTTATTAGAATTTATTATTTATTAGATTATTAGAAACAAATTGTCTTTTAAAAATCTTAGAGAATGTCATATACACGTAACTATAAGCACTGTTATTCGTCAAACGTCAAGCAGGAGAATGAATTTTCTAAACACCTTCAGTGCCCTCAATATACCCTTTAGATATATAAATTTTAACGATTCATGTTGAATCGTGAATGCTTCGCACACTTGCGTTTTTTAACAACCTTTCTAAATGTAAATAGCGAATCACTTCTGGACAATAATGTAAAAATGAGAATTCATTTTTATAATTCACATTCCAATATACTATGGAAGACCTTTTTAAGATTTCTAATGCATTCAAAAAACAAATCAATGCTTCATGATCATCTCGACACTCGTTTAAATCAATCAAAACATTTCGGGTATACTCTTCAAACGGCTCCGTATGAAATAAATTGGGTTTTAGAATACAATTTTCTTTCCTGTGTTCATTCCTCTTTGACACGAGTGACTCGTAATTGTACGGACCCACAAAATGATATATAATAGGTATATTGTTTATTTTTAAATGTAAATGACTCGTAAATACAATCATACATTTGGCGTAATAAGGTTTGACAATATCTGTCTGAAATGGAGGTTCTATCCATATCAAAACATCACATATCGTTTCTACTATGGGTAGATCCCATCTGGACCGAATTTCTACAACCCACTCATCATAGAATTTATTTAAATAATAAATTATTAAATTTACCCTTCTTCCTAAATTTCCAAAAACAATAGTACTTTTATTGGGTTTTAAAAGAGTGTAAAATAAATCAAACATGCCAAGCATTATGAAATAATTGCACCTTTACTTTAAAAAAAGTTTTATTTTAAAAAAAATAAGCAAATTTTTAATATAAACATTTCACAAATTATCGTGAAAACATTTCATTTTTACAATTTTTACAAATTATNAAGGCATCACAGGTGGAAGTTGAAGCAGTTTATTGGATATATTTGTTTCAGGAGTATAAAAGAAAGGATCGATCATTTGGGATAAACAAAGAGCAAAAATTTTTGAATAAGGAATACTCATAATAGTTGGAAAAGCAATATTATCTGACAAAGTTTCATCGGACAGAATAACTAGGTTTGGAAAAACGTGTTTTAACGAATTGCATAAACTGGTGTTGACATAAAGATCACTAATGATAATGTGACGTGTTTCTTTCGGGATAAAGGAATAGACAGTGTTTACCGCTTGAGAGGTAGATTCGTTCGGATGAAAATCCACTTGAAACGTTTGAAACACTTTCTCTTCACTATTATAAGCAACAAGTTCCCAGGAATACTTTATCATACATACTTCAATTTCATTAGTACCTATGACGATATCGGGAGGTGAAGAACGGGTGGGGTTTAAAGATTCGAGGGTTACGTCGAGAGACAATATATACATCATTAGCTCTTTAAATTCAACGTTTTAGTTTTAAATAATTCATTGAAATGAATCAGCTGTTTTTCGGATAGAGTTTATAAATGTTACAAGATCATGACGTCAGATTATGATGTCATTTAATCTATTATTTTCAATGTCAGCTATTCAACGTTTAATAATCGACTTAAATATCATTTATTAAATATAATTCATTGAATTAATATTTATAAATTACAAGATAATTATTAATATTTTTAAATTACAAGATAATTATTAATATTTTTAAATTACAAGATAATGATTAATATTTATAAATAACTAGATAATGATTAATATTTATAAATTACTAGATAATGATTAATATTTATAAATTACAAGACAATGATTAATATTCATGGATTAGAAGACAATGATTAATACTTATAAATTACTAGATAATGATTAATATTCATGGATTAGAAGACAATGATTAATACTTATAAATTACAAGACAATGATTAATACTTATAAATTACAAGACAATGATTAATACTTATAAATTACAAGACAATGATTAATACTTATAAATTACAAGACAATGATTAATACTTATAAATTACAAGACAATGATTAATACTTATAAATTACAAGACAATGATNTTATTATTATTTATTATCTCTATAATGTTTCTTTTGTTTTTATTAATCTTATAATTAATGTTATTTATCTTAAGAACTTGTGAAATTTTGATTGTTTTTGCATTGTTTTGAATAAAAAACTTTCCTTAGTTAGAAATGAAGTAAAGGTGTCAAAATAAAACATAAATTGATAAAACCTTTAGTCTTGGTCGCTTTTTCTTGCTCAAAAATGACAATTTAAAACACTGTAGGTACTTCTTGAATTTTGAATTTATAATCATGCTCATTTTTTTATACGAAAATAACAATTTAAAAAACTATGATTTACTAATTTAGAGGTAACGTAAAAACCCTCTAGTTCTTTTGTTTCAAATTCTAAATTTCTTAGTCTCTTTTTATTTTGCATTTTCTTTTTTTTTTGTAGAATATTATATTTAATTCTCCACAATCCATTATACGCATTTGTAAATATTTTCCTTTTTTCTTTTGTAAATTTGGATTATATTGCCTCACAAAAGATCTCATTCTTCAAATATTTCGATTATATTTTATTGGTGTACAAAAGATCTCATTCTTCAAACATGCATTATTTCAACTGTAGGGATTTTACTTTGGAAACAGACGGGGTAAAAGTGATTGAAAATGTATTAACATTGAAAGAAATTTCAACCCTTCAAAATACCATGTGGACTTGGCTTCATAATAAAACCCAACACTTAAATAAACCCATTGTTCAAAATGATCCCTCTACCTACGTCTCTATTTTTAAACTTTGTCCCAAACAGGGCAGGTTGTTTCAATATGGGGATTTTGGACATAATCCACTGTCTTGGACTATTCGTCAACATCCTAATGTGATAGAAGAATTTATTCGTATTTGGCATACCGAGCACCTATTAACTAGTTTTGATGGTATCAGTATTTCTTTACCGCAAAAATTTAACAAGCACAGCTGTCATCACAACAAAGAATGGTTTCATACTGATCAAAATTTTCAACGTAACGGATTTGAATGTGTACAAGGATTAGTTAATCTCTATCCCGTCCACAAGGGCGATGCAACCTTTCGATTTTTGAGAAAAAGTCATGCACTGCACCAAGCTTTTCAAGAGACTTTTCAAATTAAACACAAGTCAGATTGGTGCTTGTTAACTCCTCCACAAAAACAATTTTATATTGATCGTTTGGAAAAAAACTCCGATATTTGTGTAGAAGCTCCTGCTGGTTCACTAGTGTTGTGGGACAGTCGAACGATCCATCAAGAAATAGGACCTCAAAAAAATAATAAATGTTCTATTCAATGTACTCCATATGTGTGTATGACACCAGTCAATCTCGCTAGCAAATTGCAACTCAAGAAAAGAATAAAATATTTCGAAGCGAAACGAACGTGTAATCATTTACCTCACAAAGTCAAAGTGATTAGTAAATTACCAATATCATTTGGTAAACACTGCCCAACAATGGATCTAGACAATTTACAAGTGACGGATTTAATAAAAAGATTAGTTGGATATCCCTATCTTCATAGAAAATATAAACCATTAAAAGTGAAAGTCAGTATTTGAAATATTTGGCAATGAATGTTATAACTATATTTAAATGATTACTATTTATGTGTCTATATTATTAGTTTAAATACTTATTGAATCAAATTTGTATATTTAATGAAAAATATTTAATATAATTTTATTTAACGTAGAATTATTTTTACTGTTATACATATAAAGAAATAAATTACACTTATTTTTCAATTGATGCTTTGAAGAAATGTCAATTGAAAAAAGAGACATGCACGATACATAAAATAAAATCTATACATGTTAACTTCATACATCTTATTGCAAAAAAATAAAATACAATACATGATTTCTTTTTCCATCTTATTACATAAAAAATTTAAGAACAATTTCAATTTCAAAAGAAAAATACTGTCAACATGTTTGAAATATAAAATATTTTATGGGAAAACTTTGGCATCAAAAGTTTAAGAACAAATTTTGTAGCTCAGTTATATGAAAAAGTTGGCATTTAATCATAGACATTTATTGTCAGATACAATGATACATTTATGTTTAGCAAATTCATTCAAATATTTATTAAAGTCATTCAAGACTTGCAACTTATAGTTACTTGTAATAGTTATTTAAATGTTTCGGTGTTTATATCATAATTGGATGACTTCATAAGAGTGTTGGTTCCCTCTGGTAAACCAAACATCATCATCACTGTGTCTTCCTTTTTCTCCTGAGAATTGTGCGATGGTATATCCAATGCTAAAATTCCTTTCACAATAGGCTCTTCGGGTCTCAAGAGCGATTCTTGAATAAAACACATTGATTTCACCACACCACCAACTTTACTGGCATTGCCAAAATCATACTTCATGGTAATATTGAGACGCATAATAGCTAAACAAGCTTGTTTAAAAACTGTTTCTACATAAATACGATTAGCTAAACAAATACCGTCTTTGGTAAACACTTGAGTGTTTTGAATGCACCACAAGTTGTTTTTATATATTTTGTTGGAACGACACGCTGGGCAAATACCTCCACACGAATTGACATAAAACTTACAATTGGGAAAACACTCTTTGAGATCACACATAACTTTACCAATTTCAACAATGGGAGCACAAGTACTTACTATGATGCAGCCATTATTGCCACAGGGAGCAGAATTTTCAATGACTCGAAAATATCCTGCTACCAATATTTCAAACTGGTCATCTTTTTCATGAAGTCTATGAATCACATAATGCTTGTTAGCTTCCTGTTTGGTACTGAATTTGACTTGTTTGTTTAAATGCCTCTGATATACTGGATGATTATATAAGACGCTTTTCCACTCAGGTTGAATTAAATTTAAAACACCCGCTTCACTCCACAAGTCTACTTTTTGCTTTAAGATTTCATTGTTTAATATTTTATCAATTATGATACGATCAGAGGATTGAGGCGGTGTGTTATTTTGAGCAGATGCTTCTACAGGCGGTAAAGTATCAACAGCATTATTCATGATACAAGACTCGCTATGTACTCTTTATTTCTAGAATAAATGCTATAATTTTTAGGTCAAAAAGAGTAGGTTAAACGAGTAATAACTATTAGAGTGTCATTGTCATTATTTAGATAAACCTTTATAATATGTATAAATAAATACATAAATGAATAAAAAATTAAAAGAAAATACAAAAAAATATTATATTAAATAAATAAATAAAAATAAATAAAAACTTTATATTAAATAAATAAATAAATGAAAATAAATAAGAAATAAATAAAAATTAAAAAGAAAACAAAAAATAGGAGATTTGTAGTATTTTTATCACACCTCTAGCTAGATAAATCTCAAGTTTGTAAATTCCAGAGTTTCAAGTTGCAATTAAAAAAAAGTGTCGCTAATATTTAATTCAGATCTAGAGGTATAATACTCCAACTGTTCATGCCAAGTGATAATCATTAGGCATAATAAATTGTTAAACACAAATTTCATCTCTTACAACTATTTTACTTAATAAAATTAATTAAAAAATGTCACTCAATGATGGATTCCTACAGCCAGTGGAGGAAATATGCTTTCTTTGTCGTCGCCCTAACGATGCATTTAGCGTTAGAAAGAAATGTTGCGTTTTTAAAATGCATCTCAAATGTTATCATCTTTGGGATATAATAGATTATGGAAAATGTCTACATTGTTGCATTGGAAACTTAAGATATATGTTTGTAACGAGAGAACGAATGGAAAAAATGTCAGGAAAATCTATCAGTTTTTTTAGATTGCTTACTTATTTTCCAAGTGCAAGGAAAAGATTAATACAATATAATAAATATGTGTTAAGAAGGTATTTATCCTTCAATTTATTCAAATGGAATGCTGTGAAATGGGCATTGGCTTTACATTTAGGTATTTAGGTGCTATACCATTTTCTTAAATCTAAGATTGTAGTACAATAATATGTCTAACATTAAAATTTTTTTGTGTTTGACAAAACATGTATATTTATTTAATTAATATAAAATGTCTGATATTATAATTTAGTTACTACATGTCTAATAAATGTTTGCCAATAATAAATGTTTTTTTTTGTGTATGATATGAAGTGTCAAAGTTTATTTATTAAAAAAATAAAGCGTAATATTAAGTGAAAAAAATGTTGAATATGTATAAGTAAAGACAGGTTGATTTGTATCAAATCTTTAAATTTGATCACAATGGCTGAACGATTATTACTTTTGAAATGGTCCGAATTACCCCCCAATGTTGATTTTATGGCATTTATAGACTGGATGCGGTATGATGGAGAATGGACGCCAGCCAAAATTACGTTTATAGACTTGTTTACGTACAATCGATGTGTGGTGGCTCGAAAGCCAATCTCATTGAAACACTTTACTTTTCATGATATGTTACGAAACATGAAAATGAATAAGTGTCCTTTGGACATTTTGAACGAGTGTTATACAGAATACTTTATTGAAGATGATAAAGAGTTTTGGAAGCAAGATTTTCAGCATAACATAATGAAGAACAAGGGTAAGAAGTTGTCAGTAGCCACCATTGACAAGGCGGATTATCATTACTTGGACTTGCATTTATCTGAGCATGAGGTGGTGTATTTTGGAAAGGAACAGAGTAGGGAAGATATCGTAAACACATNGATAAGCAATTTGACCAATATATATTAAAAAATTAATAAGTAAGGAAATAATTTTTTCTTTGTAGCAGCGAAGACATTAAAAAGAATGTTTGGATAAGCAATTTGACCAATATATATTAAAAAATTAATAAGTAAGGAAATAATTTTTTCTTTGTAGCAGCGAAGACTTTAAAAAGAATGTTTGGATAAGCAATTTGAATAATAATTATTAAAAATTAATAAATACGAAACAAATTTTTCATTTTTCTTTTTTTTTATCATCTGTCAACTTTCAAATCGTTAATCTTTGCTGAATAGGAATTGTTTAACATTAAATATTTGTCTCGTCATGCAGTCTCTTCCATTTGAAGTTATTGAAAACATTTGTGGCTATTTGAGTAATGATGACATTTACAATTTGAGTTGTTTAGAGAATGGTTTTGATATGCTTTTAAATTCAAAGCACATCTTTAAGGAAGACGACGAAAATGAAATGAAAATATTTTGCAATACTTGCAAACTACCTACAGATACATTAGGTTTAAAAAATATAAAAGAATCCCATCAAACATGGTCACTCACAGGATGGTGCTTTTTATGCAATGCACCTAAATACTGTAACACAAAAAGACCGATATGTTTTACAATCTATGAAAAAAAATGGAATCTGTGGTGTGCCCACTGTAGGCAACATACTGAAACAAACGATTGGAAATTGTTTACGTTTGCAGCCAAATCCCTAATAGGAGGTATTTGTGTAACCTGCTATTATCCCAAACGTCATTTTGCTCCTTTACGAGACGATACGATTGCAATTAAACGGAGAGCTTCGAATAATTTTCCAATCGATTTAAAATTTAACTGTCAGACTTGTTTCCGTATAACAGATACAATAGGTTTAAAACTGGTAGAAAGATCCCACACCCAATCAGTTTCATGGCATTTATATGGATTTTGTTTTCTATGTATAGGATATAAAGAAGAAATTTTAAGTCAGCCATTAGATATATCGAATTATAACCAACAATTCAACTTGTGGTGCGTTTATTGTCGCCGACGCACACATACTTATGAATGGAAAAGAGCAAGATGGACAGTGAACGGACGTTGTGATTCATGCAATCGTCTTAAAAACCATGATTCCTTTGTTCCAAATTAATGAATCAAACACACTAGATTGTTCTTTAACGTAATAATTTCTTCTTCTTATCATCATTATTATCTCTATAATGAACATATATTATCAGCAACACTTTTCTCTAGAAATGAGTAAAATCTACTTATATATGTAATACTTTTTCATATATTATTAGTAACCTATTTATTACCCCATTCTTTTATTTTTTATTTACATCAATAACCACTTAAAAAATAATATCTTGATAAAAAACTAAAAAACAATGTAAAAATATAAATTTTGTCACAAGAAATTAAACATTTGTCAAGTGTTTGATTTTTTTTATTATTAAATATATACACATAAGCAACGGAAAATAAAATTTTGTCAGAGACAATATAAGTGTCAGAGACAATATAAATGTAAATTATATTTTACATGTGTCAGACAATATAAATGTATATAATATTTTACATGTGTCAGAAACAATATAAATGTACTAGTCTTGGATGCGTTAACAGGGATAGCGTCTCTTGTTTGGATAACAACGCTTCCAATTCTTTTTGAATAGTGATAGGCATGCTAATAGTATACCTATTTGGAATAATCATTTCTTTTCCAGTCAACACTCTTAAAAACGCTTCAGAAGCTGAGGTACACTGCATCACATCCAAACACATAATTATTCCTTCAGGTTTCTTCCAACTTGGATCATAAAACTTTGGTGGAAAAAACTTTTCGCTGTTGTGGACTGAAGGTAGCGATGGATAATATTTTACGTATCCCACATGAAAGAAAAAGGCAGGTAT